ATAGATAACTGGCAGAATGGGGACGAGACGAGAAGGGATGAAGTGTGGTGATCACGTTCCCATTCTCCTGTTCCTTTTGATAAACAACATGCAGTGCTGCTCAAAAGGCTATGATCCCGGTGAGAAACAGCACATGGCGGCTCTCTCAGAACCTGCGAGACTGCGCTTCCTGTTGACCAACTGTATTCAAGTGTGCTTGTTTTGCTGCAGGTGTGTGTGCTTACAAGTGTACTTATAGCTGACAGTAGCAATGCTAACTTGACCATACTGCAGTGCAAAGGCAACTGTCAAAATGACAACTTATGTAGAAAATCAATTGAATCTTTATCAAATCAATCAAAAAGCAATTTTTCCCAGTTTTACTATTGGTAAGGATGCTGCATTTAGAGTTAAGTATCTTTTAGAGTACATTTAGTCATTTACCAGATGTTTGAATCCAAACAAACTTACAAATGAGGAATATCACAAGCAATTTATCATATTAATAATGTCGCTTTTTCAGTAACAAGCTACTGGGGAATATGTAGCAATGTAGCGTGACAAAACAGTATTTGTCACACTGTATCTCACACGCAGCTTTACAGTCTACTGGGCTGAGGCGATGATCAAATGATAATCAGTCCGATTCATTTTAGTGAATCAGTTCATTCGGGCAGTTCGAACAGAAACTGTTCACTGGTTTGTATCTTTGTGCAGAAGTGCGTCAAATCACTTGAGCACCAAATTAGCTTGATTCTGAAGGATCATGTGACACTATAAAACTTAAATATAATAATAAAATATGTTTAGAATAAAAAAGTAATTTAAAATTGTAATATTTCACAATACTACTGTTTTTATGTATTTATTTTCAAATAAATGCAACCTCGGTGAGCTTAAGAGAATATTTAATTGTTTTAAATTGCAGTTCATCACTGTTTAATTATAAAACTATAATCTGATAATCTTTTTTCTGTTTTAAAAGAAACTGAGCTTCCGTGTTGACAGCTTCATTATAATGGAAACGATTCGGAGCATTCAGTTCAGACCAGGTGTTACGGTGTTGTTGCCCTTAGAGGGGGAATTTTATTGTAGCTGTTCATTGCTGTAAACAGCGTGTGTGTAGGGGGTGACTGGACTTAGTTCATCTCCAAGTGCTTTAATAGCATCCCACAAATTGAGACTTTGGCAGGACTTGGATTTCTGTTTTGTCAGTATTTTCGTTGTGAGTCAACCGTGTGCGTGCGCCTCCGGGTTTGTGTGTGTGTTTGTATAAAGGGTGATAATTGTGCTCATAGGTTTAGAGTTCGTGTGAGGTTTTAATGAGAAGAGCTCACAGGAAGCTGTCTGATTGAGTAATGGCTGCCGGCTTGGCGTAAAAGCCTGGCACTAACAAACAACAAGACTCAGAAGAAAAGAGAGAGAGAATGAGTGCCAAGAAAGTCTTCCACACACACTCAGGGCCATGCGCACTCGTTTCGCTCTCTCTCGCTCTTACTCTACGCCCTCCTTCTCCTTCAAGAGACTTAAATTCACCACTCCCCCACCCACACGCATTATTACATAGCCTGAAGGACTAAACGCAAATTTAATCTGTGATAAGCAGAACATAGGATCAGTGCATCAAAAATACCCTGCACCTTTTCTGCTGATGCACCTGGATTCCTGCACCCACGGACACCCACCTTCCCACCTGCAGCCTCGGGCTTTCCTGGACCGAACCTTTGGTGCTGGATTAAGTTTTAAGAGCCTTAATGTCTATGGTATCACAAGCAGTCAGAGTGTGTATGAGGTATTCATGAGTTTTTAACATTACCCTCATGCAACTGTTAACTCGTGTCCCTTAAGTGCTTTGGCAACATTTGGTCTGGTGTGATGCCAGTGAAAAATGAAATGATTGGGATGCAAATGAGAATAGAGGAACAGGAAAGTGGACTGTGGACACAGTCTCGTGCTGCGCACAACTGTAATGAATACGCACACAGCTGCATCAGTAGTAATAAAGCATAATAAGTGTGAGAAGATTAAATTAAATGACATTTGTGCTTCAACAAAAATGAACATTTTATAAACCGATGGACGTGGCTGTGTAGGAATGTAGTCAGGAGTCATCCTGTTAGTGTTACCAACATACACATACACATACTATATATTTATACAGTATATACAGTAGTAGTAGTTAGATGGATGGATGGATAGGGAGATGGATTTGTAAGTAGATGAATGAGTGGGTGGATGAATGGATAGGTAGGTAAATTGGTGGGTATGTAGAAAGGTTGTTTGATGGATGGATGGTTAGGTAGGTAGATCAGGGTGGATTAGTACTTGGTTGGTAGATAAGCAGGTGGATGGATGGATGAATAGGTGGGTAGGTAGGTTGGTAGATGGATGGATTGTATAGGTAGGTGGATGGATAGGTAGATAGGTAAGTGGATGGATTGATGGATGGATAGGTACTTTGGTAGATGGATGGATAGTATGTAGTAGGGCTGCACAATTAATCAAATTTCTAATCGCGATTACAATTATGGATGCCACAATTATGTAATCGTTTAAAGTGGCAATTAATCGTTCAAAGTGCACTTATGTTATTCTGCACGCTTAAGATATGTTCTTTCTTTTTACATGTTATCTTAAGGGTTTTTCCATTGTTTTAGTTTTAGTATAACATTATAATACCATTCATATTTTTACTTTTTTTATTATTTAAAGAAGAAACCAATCCGATGTATATTTGACATTTGAGGCTTAATACTATAGAAAAGCACTAACGGTCTTTCAGTTAAAGTGTTTTCAGCTTGTTTATCTTCATATAAAAATACGGCACGCAGTTGCATCAAACAATGGTATAAACATAATTTAATGTAAATTGTGATAATCTTAATTAATAATCGCAATTACAATTTCAAGGGGATAATCAACAATTATGATTTTTGTCATAATCGTGCAGCCCTAGTATGTAGGTGGATGGATAGATAGGTAGGTAAGTAGATGGATGGATAGTAGGTAGCTGGATAGATGGATAGGTAGGTAGATAGATAGATGGATAGGTAAGTTGGTAGATGGATGATAGTAGGTAGGTGAATAGATGGGTGGGTGGATGGATAGGTAGGTAAATAAGTAGATGGATGGGTAGGTAGGTAAGTAGGTGGGTATGGAGAAAGGTTGTTGGATGGATGGATGGATGGCTATGGTGGATAGGTAAGTAGATAAGGTGGATAGGTACATGGGTGGATGAATGGATGGGTAGGTAGATGGTTAAGTAGGTGGATGGATATGATGGTGGATAGATAAGTTGGGGGATAGGTACATAGGTGAATAGATAGCTTAGGTGGATGCATGGATAGGTAGGATAGATGGGTAGATGATGGATGTATGGTTAGGTGGATAGATGTGTAGCTGAATAGATAGGATGATGAATGGATGGGTAGGTATATGAACAGGTAAATGAATGTATGGATGGATGATGTTTTTTTTTTTAATGCAGAACCTGGATTGAATTCCTTTGAATTAATCAACTAATTGACTAGTCTGTCCACATTCACACAATCTTGCTATCCTCTCTCTTAGTCCCCTGTGCACACACTGGATACTATTCACACATGAATACACACAGACTCATGCATTTATGCGCACGTAGCTCAGTATAGTACCGAATGTACAGCATGTCGCAAAACAAGACTCATTTATTTAGAACATCCCCTCGTGACTTTGTGAACACTCTCTGTGTGCCAGACAGATAAAGACTGATCAGAAAGAAGCTGATGACCCAGAGAGCTTCAGCAAAACACTACCAACTGTAGAAGTGAGACTGAAAGACAGTGAAGCTCATTGATTGACTGACTGTTTTGCTTTCTGAATGAGTGCTATTGTGGACTCTCACCCTCCCCTGCCCTTTACCAAAATAACGATATGTGGGATATGCATCTGCCAGCACGCACACACTCAAGTATTTATACCAGGGTTCTCTCCCAAACTGTGTCTGTGCACTTTCAAGAGAGGTTATACAAACATCAAGTAGATAACTCAAGGAGTTTTGGACTTCGAGAAAGAAAAGAGACAATAGTTGAAGGAATCAGAGGACCTTTCACTGATGGACAGCTCAAGAAAAAGAGAGAAGGAAGAAAGGAAAGGAGAGATGGATTAACTTTGACTCAACCTTGGTGGAAGTAGGGGAAGTTGTGTGGCGGCTTTGGGGAAAATCAAATGGAATCAGGCAGTTACCTGAGGCTCAGATCTGAAGTTGTGCTCCCACACAGTGAATATCAGCCCTGCCAATCACTGTGTGTGTGTTAGTGAGGATCCCGGCTGTGCTCAGCATCACGGTGTGCTTAGAACACTAGTATGATTGGCTGTTCTGGGCTTTAAGACACCTGCGCTCATGGTGCGATAACACATAGCTCTTTGTTAGGGATCGTTTTGGACTTCTGAGCCAGTTCTTCAAGTTCCTACTGCACATGTTTTTCAGTGTTTTAGAGCAAAACCTTTTAATATTTCATACATAGATGTGTGGTATGCAATCTCAACTTCAATTCCATGTCAGATTAGTTATAGATTTGGTTTTACGACGCAAAACACATCTTCGATCGCCTGTCTGTACTTTCATTGTTGCGTGCAGCCCTTTCTAAAGTCACACAAATGTGGTTGTTTAACTTCTTACAGTTTAAATACTCATTTCAAATCTGGTGAAAACAGTTGGCAGACTAGATAGCGCATTGATTTATGATTGTTTCAGCGAGCCAGACTGTGTTTGCGGTATCACGGTGTCGTTTTGGCACCGAGGTGCGCGTTATGACGAGGTGAATCTCAGCAGGCTTTGCCTCATCACGAAAGAGAAAAACAAACTCACAAAACCAAAACCTCGCAAAAGTGTGAGGAGAAAAACGAGCTTTTGTAGGATTCAAATCTGTGATGTGGTTAGCCGGCTACTGTTTCAGATATAAACACAACAGCCTTTTGCATAACAAGTATGATGTTATCTAAAAGCGACTACTCCATTATTGTTCGCAACGTTCGAGTTTAGTCTTTGAGTGCTAATAAGTGGTTTGATGGGAAAGTTAAGTGTGGAAATTGCCACATGATAGGAGTTTCTTTTTACTCTTGAACGTGGAAGATTGTTTTAATTAGCTGCCTTCGGTTGGTTGTTATCGCATGTGATATTAGTTGCTTGAAGATTAAAACACAGCCGCTAAAGTGATTTAGTTAACCCTGCGCTTAAAGAGCACTGGTGTTTAGTGTAGTAATTTTGCTGTGGTTTCAGCTGTGTAACGTGTGCTGAATTGTGCAGTCATCAAACACAGAGGCCTCATTGATCAGCTGCCGAGCCTCAATACACAATGAGACGAGGCCAGCGATCTCTCCTCCTCTCCTCCACTCCATCCCTCCTGTTGCGATCCCTCGTTCTGCTCTCCCTCTGCCGTGAGTCGTCACATTTCTTGCTTTACTTCTCCATCTGTCTCATTTCTCTCGGTAATTCCTCAGCACACCTTGAAATGAATCTTTCTCTTTCTGTCTGTAACCTTATGAAACCCAAAGCTACTTTCATTTCTCTTCATCTTTCTCATCTCGGTCTCAGCCTCTCGCTTTCTCTTTATTTTCGCCGGTCCCCGTCTCCTTAGACACTTCTCTCTGTCCTTGTCTCTCACTCCGCCTCAGAAGAAGATAATTTATGGGAAGGAGCGAAGAGATGCGCGTGTGTGAAGAGTAAAGTGGATACGGGGAGAGGAGAATGGAGGCCGAGCCAGCTGGCAGATTTATGATTGAGGGATCAGAGAGGAGTGTGGACCAAAGACAAAAAGATAGAAAATAGTGGTGTCATGCTCTTTTTTCCTTCTCTTTTTAAAATGGGCACCAGAGGAAGTCTTTACTCACTCAGTGCCTTAGGCAAGAAAATACATAAAACTTTTTTGTTTTGTTTTACAAATTACCAGTTGGATATGTAAATGTTAGAAAAATATAATAGAGTTTTCATTTACGATGCAAAGAGACCCCGGTGCAAATCCCGACCTAATAGGCTCTTTTGAAATAAAGCAAGAACTTGACAGCTAGTGATCAACCCGCATTTTCATTGTATGGAAAAGATTTGACATTTTGATAATGATCCTTTTTGTGTTCCACCAGAAAAAAGGGCATATGAGCTTGGAGCGACGTGAGAGTGGGTAGATGATGATGGAATCTATTCGATTGAATTGACCACATTTAGATTGCTGCAGCGTTTTAGATAAACACTTTGCTTCTTAATTATCAATGAACTGAATGATGTTTAATTGTATGTTCATTTTCCATTACCTTTAATGTTATCTAACGCTCACTTAAACACCAATAATTTAATAACACTGATAAATGTCACCTTTTGCAGATCTCAAAATCTCAATGTTGTTGTGAGGATTAATTCACTTTTAGCATTTATTTATTTGTTTGTTTGTTTATTTATTCATCCATCTAGTATAGCTTTTTAATGTCAGCCATTTACAGATAATTATTCATAGCATTAATAATTATGATCTTTTCAGTGTCCTGAATTTAATATTATGCAGCTTCTAAGTCACTTATCAATCAATTTGTGAAATTTGAGTAGGTTAACTTAATACAGCCAGATGTTCTTGAATTGACCAAATTTAGACTGCCACCCTATTCGAATGGTAATTGTTTCTGATGGGGACGTCTGTTAAAAATAAATGTACATGTTTCCTTAGTGATAAAACTCCATGCAATTGGATGATGATTTACTCTCCATGGAGGGGTGAGTTCTGTGATGCTACAAACCTGCATGTTTAACATGACTAATAGGAAAGTAACTATTAATTCATTTAAATATCATTTTAGTAATAGGAAAATTGATGCACTATGGTTAATGTTAGTGTTATGGTTAACACTATGTGTTTCTTGCATTTTACCTCACAAAATGATTTATGTCATTTTAAAAATGTGGAAATTAGCAGAAACGAGTTACGCAACCTCTTATTTACAGAAGGGAAATTTGACTACTTGGTAACATGATTACTCACTGTAAGCCCTAATTTATATGAATAATAACTTGTATAACTCATTAGATGAAGGTCGAAATAGGAAGGGCAAGATGAAGAAGCAAAGGAGAGTTACGGCAAGTGGAAAACTCAGAGAACAGACATCTTGTAGAAAGAAGGGAAGAGAGGAGAGTGGTAAAACAAGAGCCTGAAGTTGAGAGGGAATTGTTAATACAACCATTAAAATGTGCAGAACATTGGGGAGGAAGGAAACGGCAGTATGACAATGAGGAGAACCGGACGAATGAGCAAAAATACAGACTCTTTAGGGACACAGAAAGGCAAGAATGAAGGAAGGAGATATGACAGTGGCTTTATGGAGGATAACCTCAAATTCACTCAGGGACTTTTGTAGTTAAAGAGAACCTGTATTCAAGAGGAACCTCAAGGAAACCTGAGATTGGCCGTTTTATGGTGTAATTGCTGTTTTTCCCAGAGTATGTGCACTTATAACTCAGCAAGGACATTGTTGCTCCTGTTCTCGGTGACTCACTACCTCAGGTTGATATGACAGTCTGTCAATACTTCAGACTTCTCTTGCTGTTTTCCTATGCCTTTTAATAACATCACATCTGGGGTGCTAGGCCACATTGTCAGCAGGAGCAGAAGTCCTCAGTCTAATTCAAACCTGAAATAAATACATGTTCTGATGTAAAATAAATAAGAACTATTTAAGGATGCACAATACATTGGTTATCTGTTATTCAATTATAAAATCTGCAATTAATTGGTCATAACATGAAAGTAAAAATCAGCTTCTTGATATAGAATAGAATTTGTATGTCTAATCAATTTATTTGCATAGCGCTTTTCAAAATACAGTTTCTAAGCAGCTTTACAGAAAATCGTGATGTAAATGTTTAGAATATCTTAATATATTTATGCCTTATAGTTGCTTTTAGTAGATTACATCTGGGTGATAATATAGTTTTGCGACAATACAAGCAAACAAGTAGTTGAGATTTGCTCAGTATATATCGCCATACGTGAGTATACTATGTGTGTACTTTTTATAACTTCCCTAAAATATTTAAGATTCTACACTATTTCTAGGTTACTAATCAAAAAAATTAGTGACTTTTGTTCCGAAACTCCTTTGTACAGACTGTCAGATGCTCATCCAGTGAAGCAGAATATGTGCTTTAGATAATTCTGGAAAACATGATCATCAGGTTTTAAACAAACTTGTGGAGTTCATGCAGCCTGAGTGCTGCTGTCATTAAAGCGAAAGGGGGTCATACAGTATAAATACTTAGACATTCTGAAAGTCGTTAAATTAAATTTTCAATTCAATGTTTCATTCAAACTGTTATGCTGATAATATAATTTGTAATGGAATAAAACTATTAAATTAGAAAAAAGCTAAACAGAAGCAATTTCAGTGGTCTCAGACATTTGAAGCCTGCTGTATATTCATAATCTCAGCAACAAAAAGCCATTCTCTGCACCAGCATGTGTGTATGTGTGTGAGTGAGAGAGATAAAGAATGGGTCTTAAGCCTTGGCAGAATATGCTGTTATGTAATTCTCACCAATAAAGGATTTTTTTCTCTAGCAGTTGAATGTAAGATGCTGTTGGGGATAGGAGCCAGGTTGACAGGATGAGTGTGTGTTTGCGAGGAATTGTGGCAGTCTGGATTTCTGCGCTGGCCATAGGCTAACTCTGGTGTAATTGCCCTGTAAATTTTCCGTAAGCCCTCTTTGTTATGGCCGACTGTAAATGACTCTGCAGTGCTTTGAAACAGTGTGTCAGGAATAGGGTTGCAAAGGGGTGGAACATTTCCAGTAAATTTCTGGAAACCTTCCAAAAATCCCTGGAAGATTCCAAAACATCCTGGAAAGTTTCCAAAATTTCTGAAATGTTTCCGAAATTTACAGGAAATTTTCCACCTTTTTGCAACCCTAGTCAGGAACACACGGGGGTCTCCGCTCTGCTCCCAAAACAAACAAATGTCCACACACACACACACACACACACACACATCATGAAACCAAGGATATCAGGGACAGGATAACCTGAAGGCTAAGGTCTAGAGAAATAAATGGATGGATGAAGGGAAAAAAAGAGAGGGATGAAATAGAGTGAGGAGAGAATGATATGACTGAAATATGGTGATAGAAAAGAGCAGTGTAAAACATGAAGGTCAAAAGAAAGAGAGTGCAGCGGTTATGGTGAGGGGAAGAGATAAGGGAGAACAGGAGCAAGAAATCACAGATGGAGCGATGGAACAGGGAATAAACATCATGAACAGACAATGAACGAGTGAAGAAAGCTTTGAAGCTTCTGGGCACACTGAAATGATCTTAGATCAGTAAATACTTGTAAGAAAATAACCAAAGATTTTCATTGGCTTCCTTTTTTTGTAAAGGAATAGTTTACCAAAAATGAAAATTCTGTTATCCTTATGTTATTCCAAGCCGGCATGACTTACTCTCTACTGTGATACATGAAATAATAATATTTTGAAGATCCCTTTAAGTCAAAGCTTAGCAAAATAGTATAAAAAAATGGGTATTTGAGTTTGTTCTATTAAAATGATCAGTTAGTTACTTGTATCACTTCATGGCTATCTTTTCTCATAGGAGATATGATGAATCACTTAATATTGCACATTTAAAGCAATGGAAATAGAGGAAACAATTAGCATTGATACATCGTTTGAAACAGTAACTTTTCGTTAATGTTGTTGTTTTGGGCTTTTACTGACACCTAGTGGTGTGGATGTATCAAATTTGATTCTAAAAGTAAAATTGTCCATTAACAGTGAGGTTACAGGACTAAATTGAGTATTATTCATCTGGTTATGTGATCACAAATTGGTGTAATGGTAAACCTGCACCATATAAAATAAAACTTATTTTATAGGCGACTGAAATATCTGGAGTATATATCTTAAAAAAGTCTATTCAGTTCTTTGTGTTAAACTATTTAATGAGGGGAAAATTTACTGCATGAACCTTCAATCTAAATAGCCAGTTATTACAATGATGTCAGATTTTAAGTCACGGCAGTTTGACATTTCCAGTTCAGTCAAGACATTTACTTAAAATAATTAGTTATGATAATTAAGTAAATGCATTCAGGAAAGCCATTTGCATGTTCTTCATTATTTTTTAAGTTCAACGAACTCTTCATTTTGTACCGTGCAGCTTTAGATTAAGGATACGGATGAGAGAGAATATATGAAGGCAAGATCATGGATGTAATTAGACGAGTGGAACAAAGAGACAAGAGATGGATGTTCAGTCCATTTTCTCCTATCTTTGTTTTTTGCATGTCCTTTTCACTCCCTCCTTCCCTTTTTCCCTCCGCTCCTCCTCTCCCGCTCTCTCTCGCCCGCCCGGACAAAGCAGGATGATTATACTGTGAGTCTGAGCTGCAGAACAAATCACA